CCACCCATTTTTTTTGCAGGGGGAAAAAATTAAACTACAGAAAAAACGGAACGGTGGGAAAAAAAGACCGAAAAAGAAATGCTTATACTTTATTTTGTCTGTTTCTTTCCCTCAATATCGGTATGAAGATGCAAAAGAATCATGCGATTGTGAATCAGAAGGGGAAAATCATTAGGTAACACTAAAATTATTAACAAAAAAAAAACATTAGATTTTTTTAACCCCGATTTATTTACCAAAATAATTTTTTCTAAAAGGTGTGAAATAACACCGACGGGAGAGAAAAATTCTATTTAGACAACGTTTCGCTCAGTGAATTTGCCTTTCAATATCATGACTTGATAAACTAAACGAAATTCCCCTTAAACTTTACTTCGCCTCAGTTGCATTTGTGAAGTGACGCCAAAAAAAATTTATTCAGGCATCCTTGTTTGAAACTTGTGTGAAAAATCTTTTCCTCGCAAGGCCTTCAAGGCACCTACACTAGGCTCCTACACTAGGTCCTACACTAGGCTCCTCACTAGGCCCCTACACTAGGGTTTCCCAACTAGGCCCTACACTAGGCTCCTACACTAGGCTCCTACACTAGGCTCCTACACTAGGCTCCTACACTAGGTTCCTACACTAGGCTCCTACACTAGGCTCCTACACTAGGCTCCTACACAGGGCCCCACACTAGGGTTCCCACACTAGGCTCCTACACTAGGCTCCTACACTAGGCTCCTACACTAGGCTCCTACACTAGGCTCCTACACTAGGCTCCTACACTAGGTTCCTACACTAGGCTCCTACACTAGGCTCCTACACTAGGCTCCCACACTAGGCCCTACACAGGCCCTACACTACTCCCACCTAGGGTCCTACACTAGCCCCCAACTAGGTTTCCCACAAGGGGTCCTACACTAGGCCCTACATAGGGTCCTACACTAGGCTCCTACACTAGGCCCTACCAGGCTCCTACACTAGGCTCCTACACTAGGCTCCCCATAGGGGTCCCACTAGGTTTCCCACACTAGGCTCCTACACTAGGCTCCTCAAGGCTCCTACACAGGTTCCTACACAGGGTCCTCACTAGGCTCCCACACTGGGTCCTCACTAGCCCTACCTAGGTTCCTACACAGGCCCTACACTAGGCCCTACAAGGCTCCTACATAGGCTCCACCAAACCCTACACTAGGGCCCCACACTAGGCCCCACCTAGGTTCCTTTTCAGGCTCCCACCTAGGTTCCTACACTAGGCCCTCACTGGGTTTCCAAAACTGGCCCTACCCCTAGGCTCCTACACTAGGTCCTACCCCCTAGGCTCCACATAGGTCCTACACAGGCTCCCTATTGCATTTTAGGGTTTTTATGCAAATTATTTTTAAAAAAAAGTAACCCTTAGCTTTCAATCGCCCTCCTTGCGAGCGAACTCAAAAATTCAGCCCGACTAGTCAGGAAATGGAATAGTTTTTGGGGGGCGATGTGGGAGCAGGGTCCATCATAGCTTTAAGGGGAGTATGATAAAGCTAATGGTTCAAGGAAGTGACCTATTGCGACCAGGAAGAGGCGGGGCCAGGGGCTTGGGGCTCGACCCCGCAACCTCAACTTGAGTACACACCGCAAAAACCAACATAAGAGCTGAACACATACATATATATCCATAAACACACCACACAACATAAATCACCCCCCGACTAGCCAAATGCTATTGACAATGCCTCCGACAAAACTGGGTTTCACCAACTTTTCACACAAATACCACACACCCCACACACACACACACAACAAACACACCACACAACACAAACACACACACACACACACACCACACACACCACACACACACACACAAACCCGAGAATACGTTCCGATACCTTAATAAGGAACGTTCAAAAACACTTTACACTGTTACGCAGGCCCCACTGGATATGCAGCACCAGTTGGAACCCCCACCGGTCAAGCACTTCAAGAAATTAGAAAAGACAAAGGTTTGCAACCAAGGGTAGTTCCGGAGCTCGGAAAATGTCCCTAACGAAAAAGGGTTTAGGGGAAAAAGGACGACACACTGGAGGACAGGAGGATCGGGGAGACATGATACGACATACAAAATACTCTTGGGAAAAGTAAGGTGGACAAGACAGATGTTCCAGAGAGGGGGAAAAGAAACCAAGGGTCACAAATTGGGAAACTGAAAAATTCAGACGAGCAAAAGGGGTGTTTGAAGTATTTCTTCAGTCAAGAGTCGTCAGGGGTGGAACAGCCAGCAATGATGTAGTGGGGGAGGGGCCATACATAGCTTTTAAAACGAGGTATAAAAAAGCTCAGGGAACGAGAGAGGACTTATAGCGATCAGTGAAGAGGCGGGCCCGGGCTGAGTCTCGCCCCGCAACACAATTGGGGAGTAAATTTTGGGGGTGAGTAACACAAAACACACATACACAAACACACATACACACACACCACAAACGGAAAGGGGGGCCAAACCCCCACGTGCTGGCACAGTGCCACAACCCAGGAA